AAAGATAGTACATTAACATAGTGGTAATACAGGGATAGCTAAATAAGGTGTGTGTGTATGTGTGTGTCTTCACTCTTTTTTAATCCATAACTGTCCCATCAAGTGCAGTATCACAGCATTTCTAAATTACTGTTGCTGGCTTGTTTGGTTTACCAGTTTGAGAAGATTTTCAGTTATAAAATTTCCAATTCAGAATGAAAGCAGCTACCCAATATTAAAAATTATGGTTGTGTTCCATTAAGTATTTATAACACACAAAATTTAGAATACTGAATGAAGCTTGATTTAGTAAGAGTTTGGTTTTTGCTTTATTAATCTACATTAATGTCTATGTCTTACAGCACAATAGGAAGGCCAAAGATGAAAACCTTTGATATAGGCACCAGCACCCCTCAAAAAATTTGCACTGAATTGAAATTTATAATGTGATGGAAGAGGACATTTGTTAAGTATTTGGGGAACAGTCATATTCTGTATTTATTTTAATCACAGTGAAATGTAAATGCAATTGAATTAATTTTCAATTTAATTTTTATTATGGCCCTGCCTACCTTTTGAAGAACACATTGTCCCAGCATGCCCCTGCAAGGCCAAATGTAATAGAAATGGGAACCTGACATTTCAGGGCCATATGTATCCTCTAAACTTCCTTGTTTTTGACCCATGGAATCCTCTTTAATTACTTTTGCTAAAAATTGGTAGTTTGGTTGGCCACCACTGTGAGAAGGAAATGCATGCTATGGTGTAAACCCTAAAATAAACTTAACAGGTTTTTTTTTAAACCTTCTAATCTGTTATTAGGAAAAAGAAAGGAAAAAGGGGGAATATTTATTTATTATCTTGGACAGGACTGTAGATGATTTATAGTTTGATCAAATAATAAAAGACGAAAGATTTATATGATCTGAAGAGAAACCAGAGTAGAAATAAAATAAATAAATAACACATTCAACCCCCTTAGCTCATCCATATACACAATAGAAATGTATTTGCTTTGCATCATTATGTCCACTGAAACTTTTGTCCCCTAAATAACTGCAATCCCTGACCATCAAAAGATTGCCTAACATCATCCTTTTGTGTAACATGGCTGTGGACAGGTTACTTTCTGCTGTATCTCAAGGAATTTAAATAGCTTTTTAAACCTTGTTTTGTGTGGTCCTCAAATTTATTGTCTGTATTAGATGGAATACGAAGAAAAGCACTTTGCTATGATATCGTATATGGCTGAACATATCAAATAATATATCAGGAATAGACTTAAGATTGATAAATTCCATTGTGAGATGAATGGTTTGGATAGAAAAGATTTCTGAATCCAGGCTGTTTAATGATAGCAATAATAAAATCTCTTCCCCTTTATATTAATCAAGATTAGGAAAAATGGATTTTTCCTAATGAAAGAATTGTGAAAGTATAAAAAAATAAGAATTAAATACTTATACAGGAAAAAAAATATGTAGAACAAACATCCAGAGATTAGATGTTCTCATGCAGAGGACACTTTATGTTTCTGAATTACTATTTTGCAACTGTGCCAACTAGAAGTTTCCAATAAACTACAACCTGATTTTTTTTCTGTCCATGATCTAGTTCTACAGTTTGCTACAGTCTACAGGCTAATTAACCTGGAACAGTTAGGTATAATAGCTTTTCATAAAACTGGAAACTAAACTGGATTTAAACCAAGCCTTTTGGTGTAGTGAAATTTGCAATCTGAATTCTGATGGACAAACAATGCATTACTCTTAATATATGACTGCAGCCCAAAGATATTGTGTTCGGTTCCTCTGTTATTTATTTCTTATTTTACATATGCACAGTGCTGTCTGTTCCAAGACACTATCTTACTTGCTTCCTAATATGCTCACAATGCTTTTACAAGATAATTTCATGCATCCCTTTCTAATTAAAAGAACAGTGGCATTTTATTAAAACCCCAAAGAAAAAAACAGAAAAGACTCAGAGTGCTCAATGGGATGTCATTTAAGCTTCTGAAGAGTAAAGTGCTCACTGTTGAGTGGAAAATATATTAGTTGCTGGAGTGAATAATGAAAGGGGTACATTTCAGGAAGATTGTTGTGTTTGAAGGTTACTTGCTCCCTTTGAAGAAAGTTTGAAAACTTTTCCATTAATTAATGAGAGGTGATGTGAACATAGTGCCAACCCTTTAAAATAAGTGCATTAGCTCCCAGTTGTTTTCAAATACAGTTCAAAGTACTTTAAATGACCTGGATCTGCAGTACATTTAAGTTCATAAGCTTCCCTTTGTCCTGAAGTTGGCAAAAAAAGTTCTTACTCTGCCTGATCTGTTATTTAAAAAGAATCTAGAAATAAAGCTGGGTGCATTAAAAATGCAGCCAGGTTTTTTTAAACTTTCTCTGTGCCTGTAGGAGGAGGGTTGGTATTCATTTTTGACAGTTGAGCACTGGCAATAACAATATTGCTATATCTGTTTGTTTTCATCTCTTTAATTATTGTGCAATACTACATTTTTATGTAGGTACTTGGTCTTCATAGTTTACAGATTATGGGATAATTATGCTACAAAGGGTTTTTCATATCTGGATAAAATTGTGTGTCTATGCCTCATAGAGACTTCTAATTTGTTTTTAGCAGCAATAGATTGTTTATAAACCTTGAAAGTCATACTCTCCAATTTTTTCTAACAAACATTCATACTTGGGAAGAGCAAGCAGTTTTGTGGGCAGACTGTTCACCTAGAAGGCAGATAAATACAGTGGAACCTCGGTTTACGAACTTAATTCGTTCCATGACTCTGGCTGCAACCCGAATTGGTCGCAACCTGAAGGAAATTTCCCCATAAGGTTCAATGTAATTATTGTTAATCCGTTCTGGTGTGGAGGACAGGGAGGCAGCTATTGCTTGGAGGGAGAGTCCCCCTCCCTACGACCATGTGTCAGGGGTGGAAAATGGCCACAGACCACGTGGCAGGGGCGGAAAAATGGCCGCGGACCACGTGTCGGGCGGAAAAATGGCCGCGGACCACGTGTCGGGCGGAAAAATGGCCGCGGACCACGTGTCGGGGCAGAAAATGGCCGTGGACCACGTGTCAGGGGCGGAAAAATGGCCGCGGACCATGTCACGGGAGGGAAGATGGCAGCGTATCCTGCTCGTACCCCGAGGCGGAGTTCGCAAACCGAGGTAAATTTTTGCCGCCGGAGCTGGTCGTAACCTGAAAAGTTCGTTAACAGGCGTTTGTAACCCGAGGTACCACTGTATTTGAACTCATTATATTTGCCAAAGTTATCAAGGTACACTTGCAAGTGGGGGGGGGAGAAAACTACTGCATTAGTATAATTCCCAGATGTGTTCTGTTCTGGAAAGCTGCCATTGCAGGTGCTCTTTAGTAACAACGTCTAAACTGGGTGACAAGAAAATAAAAATTGGAGGTCAGGAACAGTACCTGATTTCTTAAAATGAGAACTATTTATCTTCCCTCATTCATAGAATTTTATAAGGTTCAGACATTTTTTTTCAACTTGACATCCTCCTGTTTTCCTGCTTCTCTTTTGTCTTTTTTATCTGTCCTACATCGCCCCAAATCCAGATGGAATTTGGATTACAGATGGAAAAAAAGAGGGATTGGCTGTGCATTGTCATTTGATGATAGGATTGGGAGACTTCCATCTGGGAGAAACCAGGAAAATGTTTGTTCTGAGGCTGAATAATACTATGTTAAAAATATAGTACTTAGTTATTGCTGTAATGAAATTAGCAGATGCAAAAGCACTACTGGAAAACATCAAATTCTGCATGTAATTTATATGTTTTATTAGTAAAATATACTGAATTAGTTTTGTATGTTTTATATATTTATTATAGAGATAATCATGATGGAATTCAAGTTAAAATTCAAGGACTAATGCTAACAATTATGGAGACTGCCATATTGAGAGTGAAGGGGAATTTCCAATAGAAATTTACAGTATTTCAGTGACTATATCATTCAAGAAAAACAGTGACTTTTAACATTCATATTAGGTTGGCTTTTCCAATCTGGTGCTCTTTGGTTATATTGGGGCTTCAACTCTATAAAGGGTTATACATTGGGAAAGACTTTTATAGATGAGTAGTTAAATGAACTAGCCCACTTATTAAGGTAGAGATTGTAGTTTTTGGGTTATTAGAATAAAACTTTGAAAAACAAGGTTATTCTTTTCATTATTATTTCATCATGATTCAGATAATTTGGTGTACATCTCTGAAAGACTGTTCCTTTTGTGTAATACTCATAATAATATGCATGTGTGGGCAGCTTTTCAGGTCTTTGTGATTAAATCTGTCCAAACTAATATGGTGAATTGTCCAGAATTACAGGGTTTGTAATCCAAAACATCTGCAGGGCATTGCAGGGCCTCTCAATTATGTAATGTATATATGTCTGTAATGGGTTAGATTTAGAGTAGCCATTTTCTGAGTAGGAGAGCTGCAATCCAGCTGACACACTTACTTTTGGGTGGGGTAGGGAGGGAATTCTCACTCCAGCCTTTAATATCTTCACCCTTAGTAGTCAGAGGGATTTACAACACTTTGAATTGGGGTGAGAGAGGCTGCAAAGAGACTCAGAGAGTCTCTTTGTCCTATGAACTGGAACATAATGAGTGAAAGTTGAGTTTCAGGTCTCTGAATCCCACCCAGTTTCAGAATTAGTATGTGTATGTTTATGGGTATATATACATACATATTCATTGGTGGTAAGATAAAATAAGCAATGAGAGAAAGAAACATCTGGTTCTTCAAAATGAGAGTACTTTATCATATTTCATTCCTCACATTTTATGTGCTCCAAACATTATCATCTTTCCCCCAAACCCTCTTTAGAGTCAGCTCACCATGATTATAAAACAAAAGTAAATAGTGCTATTATTGAATTATAAACACTCCACTATCATGTTTTTAGAAATGTACGAATAATTTATATTATTCGAATTTGTATAATTTCTATCTGTCTTCTATCCCTGTTTTTTAAATTATAGGCAGAGGATTCTTGTAAATGTAATGGCTGGAAAAACCCTAACCCACCTCCTACTCCACCCAGGGTAGATCTGCAGCAGGCTGTTGTGAGCCTTACTGAACCATGTCGTAGTTGTAATCATGCACTAGGTAAGGTTCATACTCCTTTTAAAAAATACTTTTGTGAGTATTATAGCATACAGAAGGGTTACCCAAACTGTGAGGTGAGGTCACTTGGCTTGTAAACCTTATCAAAAATAGAGTAAAGCCTGGACAAGGGGCTGTGTAACTAGCATTCTATTGCACATCATGCTTTAATAAGATAAGATTCACAGCTTGTCACATATGAAAGTGGCTAGTGACATTCGTTATAATACAAGGCCATTGAAACAATTGATTTTAATTATATTTAGCTTTGCAAGGACAAAAAGACTTTGATGCTTTTACAAGCAAAAAATCTCTTGACAACTTCTGCTTTAAGGCAAAAAGATAAACTACTGAAGATAGGAACTCGTGCCAGAAGAATCTTCAGAGTTCAAACTGTGTTATTAAAATGACAGCCTAACCAATTTCCTAATTAGCATCCTGCTGTTACAGGATTATAACTGTCATTTATTAAGCTTTTAAGGCAGGAGCATTATTTTGTTTAAGTTATCAGGGACATAGTTTATATTAGTAAATATTTCCCCTCCCCCCCAAATTGAATGAGATATTAATAAACAACACTGGCATTCTTAAAAAACCCTGGTAAAATTTAGTAGAATTTTTCATTCCAAAATTTTCCTAGAGACTACGGATCCTTGGTTAGTATCTGAAATAAAATTGTATCAGAGGAGGGAGTATGTAAGAAATTTTAGATTATCAGAATCATTTAAGGCAGATGAAGTAGCTTTCTAAACTGTTAACCAAAACTTTCTCCTAGTAGCAGGCATGCCTGCATTATGTTATATAATAAAAGATCAATTCCTTATCACACTATTATAAACTTGATTCAGTATAGTAGTAGAACAGTGTTTGCTCCTACAAATAAATCTTTCATTAACCAAACAGGAAGAAAATCTGAAATAATGGTTCAGATAATTGTAAACAGCCTGTTCTGTGGAAAAGAATGTGTTGGTAATTTTCAGAGCCTGAACAGGCTTTACCAAATGTTAGTTCCAGTGTGGTATAAGTAAGTTTGACTATTGCTAATTTAAGATTGGCATTGTGTTGTTATGCTCCTCAAACCTATAATTTCCCCCAGCTGAATTGAAGCCTATACTTATAAAGAAGGCACCAGGTCAGGAATGACTGCATTATGTATTTCCAGTAGCTTGACGTTTTCCTTGAAAGTCTTTGATTTCCTTGTTTGTTTTAGCCGCTCATGTTTCCCATTTGGAGAATGTCTCAGAAGAAGAAATGAACAGGTTGTTGGGAATTGTGTTGGATGTTGAGTATCTCTTCACCTGTGTTCACAAAGAAGAAGATGCAGATACCAAGCAGGTTTATTTCTACTTATTCAAGGTAAATTGAATACTGCTCTGCTTAGAAAATACATTGTAAGTTGCAATGATGACCACAAATGCAGTCATTCTAGCCACACAGACATCTTATGTTAGGCAGATACAAATGTTAAAAAAAAATAAAGAAGTGTATGAAATTCTCATGTTTCATTATTCCTTTTCAACTTCTTTTCAACAGCTTTTGAGGAAGTGTATATTACAGATGGGGAAACCTGTTGTAGAAGGATCTTTGGAAAGTCCCCCATTTGAGAAACCTAGTATTGAACAGGTAAAGTACATACATAGGCATCTCTTAGTATAAGTTTACTTTTATCTAATCGTTCTTTAAAAAATAGATAAGAGTCTTTGGCAATACAAAAATATGATTTCTTATGTTGGCCAGGAAAGAAAGCTGTCAACATAAAGGTTCACATTAGAATAGTGTTCTCCTTTTCTTATGCCAGTACGCATTGTAAATCTGTTGCATGTATTTCAGAATTCAACTTGCACTTTCATCTGTATGTATAATGATTATCTTTAGTTTAAGTAGTACTCTTCTTAATGTATTCTTTTGTACATGTCTGCAGAGAGGCCTTTGTTTTTTAGTTCAGTGCCCCTGGAAATTGGATGGAAAAAGCATCTTGTAAATTGGAAAATCCACCATTAGCAATACAAAAGAGGATGTTTAAAAGGAATCCAGTAGATGATACAATTTGTATCACTACAAGACCCTAGGTAGGTAGCTGATATTTTTAGAAACTAAGGTCCTGATTCAGGAAGGTAACTATTGTTATTAGCTGTTATTAATATATAAGCATTTGTTGAATATTAAGCATATAAATACGCTTACTATGCTAGAATGAGGTGTAAAATTGTATAGGAATATTGATTATTTCAAGCACCCATTTGTGTTTGAGAAGATTCATAATGTCTTCCAGCATGAACAAATATGAATATATAGATTAATTATGTCAGATTATTTTGACCAAAGCTATCTTGGCAAATGCAGTTTGGATTCATATATGAAACTGGAGCTTTCCTGGTATTTATTACAGACAGGGAAGATTCACTAAAATGCTCTGACATGGACAGTAGTGGGAGCTACAGGTACATAGGAGTATTTGAATTGCAGTGATTAAATTAGATCTCCCCTCCCCTCCCCGTACTTCTCTAGACGTTCAAGTGAAGGGAACATTGATTGGAAGGGAGAGCTTAAAACTTTGGATGCAATAATAGAAACTACGTTTACTTACAGACTTAGCTGCTGACTCCAGAGTTACTAGATTTAAATACTATGGGGTATGTTTTGTAAAATTGGATATGTGATAAGAGCACCACAGCCTTTGGATGCTAATACTATCTTAAAAAACAACTGAAAAGCATTCCTGAACATCACTGCTTATTATACAGAAATTGCCTACCTGATTATTGATCTTTGGTTTGTATACCAACATAAAATCACTGTCAGTTATTATGGTCTAAAGTTCATATCTTAGCATATATTGTGAACTAATTAGTGATATGCCATGCTGACTAGCCAAACTATATATTATAAAGGGTGATTTATACCCTTTATAATATTATAAAGTATAGTATATTATAGTATTTATAATATTATGAAGTATAGTATATTATAGTATTTTAAATACTATAACAATTTATAATTTATAAATATTATAAAATTTATCTCTTTTGTAAGAAAATAAATAACAGAAGGTATTTCCAACAGCATTCATGCCTTAAAAATGAAATATGAACCAGACCTAAGCTAGTCAGTAAAGATACAGTGAAATTTTCCATAGAAAATATTTGTTAGGAACCTATTTCTCCAAAGATTTTATATCAGGTTTTCACAACTCCTCTCCTTTCTGTTTCTTCTTTAAGGGAGTTAATAATTTTGTGCAATACAAATTTAGTCACCTACCATCAAAAGAGAGACAAACAATAGTAGAATTGGCTAAAATGTTTCTAAATCGCATCAATTACTGGCACTTGGAAACACCTTCTCAGTGGCGACTAAGGTCACCTAATGATGACATTGCTGGCTATAAAGTAAACTACACAAGGTAACAATATCTTTTTTAGGTTTTTACTTATGTCTTGAGATAGTTCATAGTAGATAGCAGGTGCCAATGGCTCCTTGCCATATCATGGGATGCAGAAGGTAAACACCCTGTAATAAAATGTGTGTGCCTTTAGATGGTGACTTTAGAATGAATAAACTATGCGGAGATCATGTCTCTTAGTAGATTTAAACCATAATTGATAAAAGCAGAACACTTACATTCAGATACCGTGTGACTCTGATAAATAGAAACTAGGAAATATCAGGACATAAATGGACATAGGATATTGCTCCATTTCTGCCAACTGAAGATCTAGCTTTTAACTAAACCAGAAAGTCTAATGACACATTCTTCATCAAATGGCAGTTAGCAGTTATTTTCTTTCTTTCTTTCTTTCTTTCTTTCTTTCTTTCTTTCTTTCTTTCTTTCTTTCTTTCTTTCTTTCTTTCTTTCTTTCTTTCTTTCTCACATTTATATAGCTGCCCATCTCAATACATAATTCTGGGTGGCTCAGAAACAGTTAAAAACAATATAAAACCATCAAAACAATACAACAGTTTAAAACAATAACAGCCATATAAAACCATATAAAAACCATATCACAAAATTCATAGTTGAGGTGAGCACATCCATCCATTACACAGCCATTGCACAGACTGTCATGTTCCTTGGTCCCCATACCTGTTGGCAGAACCATGTTTTTAGGGCCTTGTGAAAAGCCAGTGGGATTGGGGCCACTCTGATCTCCACGGGAATGATGTTCCACAGGGCAGGAGCCACGACAGAAAAGGCTCTCTTCCTGGACACCACCAGATAACACTCCTTAGCTGATGGGACCCAGACCATGCCTCCTGCCAGACATGATGGAATGTGTAGATGTAATTGGAGAGAGGAAGTCTCTCAGAAAACCTGGTCCTATGCCATGAAGGGCTTTATAGATCACCACCAGTACCTTGAATTGCACCAGGAAGCAAATTGGCAACCCATGCAGCCCATGGAGCAGAGGTGTAATATGCCGATTGAGGGGTGCACATAACTGCTTGTGCAGCCATATTTTGCACCAACTGAAGTTTCTGAATACTCTTCAAAGGCAGCCCCACGCCTTTGTATAATCCATACAAGAAGTGACCAACGCTTGAGTGGCAGTGAGCAGGGCCTTCCAGTCCAAGAACTGGTGCAACTGGCACACAACTTGTAGTTGAACAAAGGATCTCCTGGCACAGCTACTGCCTGTTCCTTGAACATGAGCCATGACTCCAGAAGGACCCCCAAATTGTGCACAGGTTCTGTTTTGAGCAGTGCAACCCCATCCAAAATGAGATGGAAAGTCCCCAGAACCAGGGGGCCCCAATACTCAAAGCCACTCAGTCTTGCTTGAGTTAAGCTGAAGCCTTCCCCCACAGACTCCAGACACCAAGACAGGACCTCCGCAGCATCACTTAATTGGAAATGTAAAGCTGGATATCAACATACTGATAGTACTTTACCCTGTGCTATTGGATAACTTCAACCAGTGGCTTCATGCAGATTTTAAAAGGAAGCAGAGAAAGTACCAAACCCTGTGGCACCCCACAAAGCAAGGGCTGAGAATGGGGCCTTTCCTCTCTGATCATCACCTACTGGAACCAGCCCTGGAGGGAGTAAGAGAACCAACGCAGTATAGTGCTGCCTGCTCCCAACCTCTGGAGCTGATCCAGAAGGATACAATGGTCAGTGGTATTGAAATCCACAAAAAGAACAAGAGTAAGGATGGATGTATCCAAAAGTGCAACGAGTGCTGTTTCAATCCCATTCCAAGGCCTGAATCCTGACTGAAGGTGGTCCAGATAATCTGTTTCCTTCAGGATCCTCATAAGCTGCTGTGTGACCACAACCTAAAAAGGGAAGGTTGGAGATTGGATGGAAATTGTCCAGAACTGTTGGGTCTAGTGATGGCTTCTTGAGGAGGGGGGTGAATCATCAGCTCTTTAAGAGGAGGTGGGGCAACTCCCTCAAAGAAGAATTTTCCACTGCCAGCACCCAAGCACACATCACATCCTGGGAAGCCTTAGCCAGCAGGATGGGCATGGATTTAATATACAGGTGGCTGTGATGGAATGGAATTATGAAGGCCAGGCTCAGGGAGATAAACATTTTCTTAGCTCCC